CTTCGTACATCCGTCCTGTTGCAGGAATGCGTGGATGCTCCAAAGCTGTTGGTACCGTCACAGTACCAGCGTCGCTCCTCCTGCAGGAAGCGAATCTGCGTCGGCGTGGCAAACATGAGATGATGACGATGGCTGTCTACTCGGACGTCACCGATCACTTCGGCCTCTATGTAGAAGTACGTAGACAATATCGTTTTATCAAATATTATATGAGCGTCGACAAGATGTGGTGCGCACATATACTATTTAGTAAAACCATATATCGATATAAGTGTACATATACACTTAACGAGTTCAAGTCAAACTTAAACACACTGTGGAGGAATCACCCCAGGAAGTTCTGCCCTTCCTTTCATCATTAATGATCCACACGTGCACGGGATCTTTGACATTAAACGAAAAGAAATAGTAATAACATATTACCATTAAAATGTTAGTTACCCCCTATAGTATGATTGAGGGTATATACATAAATATTTCAAATCATACATAAATTATTGTTATAATAAACAATTATTCACAATAAAATATAGTGTAAAAGCTTGATACATTGTAAATGGTTTTAACCCCTGCGTAACCGCAGTCCGTTGATGGCAGGCTATTCTGCTAGCAACGTATCAAGTCAGAAGAGGATATTTAGACGTCTTCACAAGCTCAAGCTTCCGATCGACGTTCAACGACAACAATATGATATATGATTTCATTAGATACTTTTGGTCCGCACTTTGACTTGACAACCCCGGCGCGCGCCTAGGCCGACTAGAAATACGGCCGTGTTGTCAAATTACCGGCTATACCATTTGTTGGAATTAGGTTAAGTAATTATACTCGAGCTGATAGATGAATGTTGAGTCTATTTTCATTTTTACATGTATTTTCATTTGTGGTTTCAAGTGTAAATGATCATTAAGAGTAATTATTGTGATTATGATATATATTGTTGTCCAGTATCGTAGAGTCGTTAAAGCATACCGTTCGCTAGTAGTTGAGGTACAATAAACAGCCACGGACTCGGATAACTAATTCCGTGGGACAGCAAACCTCATATTTAAAGTTTTAGTTAAACAAATTATTTTATTTAATAACATAATCCAATGCATATTTCCCCCAATGTCTGCGCAGAATGCACATGAATGTATCATTTTGCATCACTAAACATGAGACTGACACTTCTCTAGATTCTCCTGTGACGATGAAATTTAGGTACGTATAAATCATTTTTAAAAGAAAAGAAATCCCACACCTTTCATAAAATGATTATAAAAGGGCTAACATGTTCGCATTTGAAGAACTGTTCAACCTTTTTCTGTCTGAAGAGTGGATAACTTGTCTTGGGACAAGTTCGGACAGGCAGTCTGGAGAAAGATCATGACGTCATAAAACATTCGACGTCAGGATTTCCTGTCAACTTCACGACTTCTTATAAATATTTTGTATGGGACGAACTTGCCCCGGCCGGACCTAGGTCTCCACTATAATCAGCGACATATACCCTATATATCAATCCCTATATTATGATGACAGAAAATAGAATAAAGCTTTTTATGTCAATTCCTTAGCTCGAAAATGTCCTTTTTTAAAGTTCAACACCCTAAATAAATGCCTGTATCCGCCTTGAAATTCACTGTATGTTGGTTATTTCTGAACCAATTCATTACTTTTCTAGCATCCTCGGATTAAAACATTAAAATAGTCAATTTTTTCTTACTCAGCTTTAACCCTCAATTCAGCTAAATTCCGGTCATTTCATATCGCAATTTAGGCCTTTAGTGCCACCCGCATTTCCGGTGTAAGACCAACAAAGGCATTTTGAGAGACTGCTATATGAACCAGAAGAGCATGACGAAAAGGTAAATGACTGCAATTCAGGTAATATATAAAAAATACTCCATTTTAGTAAAATGCAATACAAATTCTGTGCGTTTAGTTAGTTAAATATGTTGGCTATGATCCAACACAGGTGCCTGTGAACATAAATAATGCACCCTTCACGATAATTTATTCTTAGATTATTAACCCTCTAATAAGTCATTTATTTCAAGACCACGGTTAAACATCGGAATTCAGATATATAATTTGGATATGTGCATTAGCTATTAATTATTATGACTGTAACGATGATAACTTTCTCACGAATGAGGCATTAAGGCTGATGTTTTAATAAAATTTGGTAACTACTAAAAGCGTTTTCAACCGACAACACGCGCCTTCAAGTGACAACTACCATCGACAGACAAAATCTTTAAAAATACCGAATCTGAATAAAATGAGCAACACCACAACCTATGTTGGTCTTATGGCTATTATATATACACCAGAGTTCAAATTGACATTTGAAAAATAAACGGAGTGTTGTGAATTTAATTTTTACAAACGGCAGCGTAGCACACATGTATAAAATCACAAGAGCCTGAAGTTCTGTCAATAATTGACAGAACTTCAGGCTCCTGTGATACAACTCTCTAGTGTTGATCAGAAGCATTGCCAGACAAAATTGTTCAATAATGACATAAGTAAGTGACATCATAAGATATGTGTTATACATATATGACTAAATAACACATCTACTAGGCCTACTACTAGCTATAGTTATTCGAATAATCGATTAATCAATAGATAATAGATGGAGACCAACTTTTGATCATCTCATAATCAATTAACCATTATTTTTTTTACGATTGGTCATGGTAACTGAAGGTCAAATCGCTATCTATTCGGATTTGCAAGTGTGATCCAATTTAGTAAATAATGAGTCTAGAGAACTTCTGAACATAAGCTGGTGAATTCAAAAATGTCTATATACATCTATGTTCATGTATATGTTTAGGATATGTGACATGTTGACACGAACTGACAAATACACAAATTCTCACAGGTAACACACTGACCAGTCCATCGTCGCCAGGATCATTCTGCATCGACATGTGCTAATAGCTGTCAAAACAAACACTCAGAGATCTAGAGCCGGTTCCGCATAATTACGCAGCTGCATACCAAGTCTCGCGGTGTATCTTATTTCTGCTGCCTTAACTGTATGATTATTCATGTTTTTGTGAGATCTAGATCTGCGTGAGTTGCCAATGTCTGTTTTTATGTTTCTGTCTTTGACAATTGTCATTTTACTTTATTTCCATTAGATATGTACCAATTCCGAACACAATATTGCAACGATTGCTGCGGTGGTTTTCGGTATTGTTAACATGCCATTTAGACAAGTTAAAAAAATCAGTCTCTTGTACACATTAGGAACTTTTCAACTTTGAGAGCTTTATCAAACACTGACATTTCCAGCCTCACAACTGTGTTAAGCTTGAAATGTTGCATGTTTACGGCCAATTCTTAGTCACCGGTGCCTGGCATCCATTGGCCGATCATCTTTCTAAAAAAAGTCATAGGCATCTCATAAATAATGCATCCCCTCCCTGTTGACTGTTTACAATACTGCTCAATAAATAAATTTTTCCGTAAAGCTAAATACTCATATAATTGTGCATCGTCAAATTTCACCTCACACAACTTAGTAATTTTCCACAAATTGACACGAAGCTTGGTATATAAGTGTGTTGTAGTAATATGAATAACATACCTTCAGAATTTAAGCATTTTTTTCTGGCGATGGTTGTTGTCACTAAAAGATGCTTGTTTTCGTTTGAAGACACTTTCAAGTATGACCCATATAAATAGTTCACTGGCATAAGAACATGCATATATATCAATCATTTTGCGACCCAAATAAATGCTACGGAAAGGGATTTGATCTAAAGTTAATTTAAATACTAAGGCTGAATTTCTCTTTTATGAGCTATGAAAAATCATACTAACTTGACACAAATCAATATGAATGTTACAATGCAATACTATTTTAATCATAGCAAAATCTCACGGTAATTTATGTTAACAGATTTTGAACAAGAAAACATTGATAAATGAACTTTGCATAAGTGATTTCATATATAACATTCTTGGTCTCTAGCTGTGCACGTTTACTTTTGAGACTAATCAGATACACAAAATAGCTGACAGCTGGTCATCTTGGATTTTTACAGTTGAGATTCATATTTAAAAATGTTTCTCAGAAAGTGCTGGAGAGATCTTTCTCAACTTGAATATGTAGCTTCCCCGCAGTCTTTAGTTGACTGAACTTAAAAAAAAACCACTGTTCTGTTGCTGAAAGAACACTATGCTTTTCCTTTTTTTAACGGTTGTTTATTTTGCAGGTTTTAATTTAAAACTTTTTTCTTGTACCAAATCCTTTACCCAGTACATATATTAATATTGTATGCATTAAAGAAGGAAGTTATAAATACATTTTTGAGTCGTTTTCTGTCAGATTAAGTTCGTATAAAAAATTGTCATTCTGAAATTTGTATCAACCACTAAACAATGCCAACAATTTAAAGCATATATGGCTTCCTCATTGAACTACATCATATAGAAGAATTCATCATATGGAAGAATTATTTTTTCATGAAAACATGCCTCTTGCTCATAGTGCTTCCAGTCTGCACACAGATAAGTTGTTTTGTTGTTTTTTGTTGGATTTAGACAATAGTTTTGTGTTAATTCAGCCTATTATACTAAAATGTCTTAGGCTTATGTACTACATATGTAGCTAGTTTGCTCAAATCTTCATACATGCCAGATCTCACGGATTTTCACCTCCGATAAAGTCTCACGGCATGGGACATGAAATTGCGGAAAGTCCTCAAAACCTCACGTTTTTTAATGATCGATCGGTGAACCATTTTCCAGTTGTTGTTTACTCGAAGTCTTACGAGATTCCACGATGTTTTCAGTGATAAATCACGAGAGCTCTCGAATAGCAGTCATGTGATTGGTCAAGTGATTGAAGAGCTCTTACGATAACTTCCGGAAAATTTAGCTTGTTGAAATGGCCAGATTATCTTTTAATTGTGCCAGCTAAACATCTGATAGACTGCATCATCATGCTGTTGAAAATTTTACACCTCTGAATGTTAGCATTGTATCAATAAGAAATTACACAAAACGGTGTTTAATAAGATGAATTATCAGGACCAATTGAATAGAAAATCGGTTCAGAAAAACAACAGCATAATCAACTTATCAACTTGTGGTATAATAATAAAAATAATAATTTGAGGTTCTTATATATATTGCTTTATCACAACCTATATAGCTAGTTCGTAGGTTGTCACAAAGCGGTTCACAAATTATTATCTGTGGTTATGGGGCCTTTGCAACCAGCCAATATCTTCTTCACTCCCTGGGGAGCATACAACCGGTGCTGCCATTTCGACACTCACAGCTTAGTCTAGCATTCAACAATTCTAGCACTGCCCAACCACATACTGTTTTACAGCTGAGTAGACTGTAGCTGCAGGAACTGTAGCTTCTGTGTCCATTTTTTTTTACCATGGTCCAATAACAATAAAAAATAAAATAAAATAAAAATCGGACATGGAAGCTACGGTTCCCGCAGCTAAGTAGACTGGGACAAGCGGAGTAAAGTATCTTGCTCAACGATACAACACAGTGCCGTGCCATGACTCGAACCCACAACCCTTTGGTCACGAGTCTGGCATCCTACCACTAGACTACTGTTATTAAAACTTCTGACTGTTGGTTGTTATTTTACAAAATGATAAAATATAAGTACATGATGTGTGGTGTGTTTTTAGATCAAAACAATGATATATCCAAAGATGGCATAAATTTGTGAACAGCAGGGACACTCCCTACTTTTGGTCAATCTTTTTTCGCTAGCAGTGGGGCTTTTTTTTGGTAAAATACGGTAATGCAACAAATCGGCACAGGACATATGAAAGACATTAAAAGATACTATACTCTAGACACTTCTGGTCTAAAAGCCAGACAGACCCGACCGCATCACACCATTTCACATGATTTTAGTAATTATAAGCAAACAGGGAGAAATTCGGGTATACATATTTAAATACCCAGGTACATAAATCAAATACAAATATCTCTCCAGGTGCTGAAATTTTATTTCATGGCAGTCAAAAAAATAAAAAGATAATAAAAACATCGAGGGACCAGCTTTTGAACCCTTAAGACAGAAAATGTCAAGCAAAATTGAAAAGCATTCAGTGTGCTTCACATTGTTCAAAAGTGTCGGTACAATCTATTTATAGGACATACCGAAAGGTCTGTGACAGTGCTATAGTCTAAGATAATGGAACTGAATTGAGGAAAAAGGGTTCATAAATAAAGTTATTTAGAGTTTTATATCCCCTGCAATGAAGTGGGCGGAAGAGGGAATGGAGTAATCCATCTGTCCGTCCGTCTCCCAATCTGTAGACACAATCTTTTCCCTTCCACTACCAGTTCTCAGTTAAATCTCGTATGAAATGGAAATTTTGATTCGTTTTATCAAAGGATCAAGAATTTTAGTGACTATTGAAAGCACTCAGTTTTTCGTGTGACTCTTCAAGTCGAAAAATTCTGTCATCTTTGCATGGTCTATTTTCTCCATTGTAACATCATTATGTTCTCTTGACGTTGTTTCATTATTATTTGATGATGTCACAATATGTACATGTTGTACATATTACAAGAGTTTATATGTAAGAATATGATACAATTGTTATTTGATTAATTTGTATCTACAACTGCTGTGTGTAAAGAGACCAAATACCTGGGGTCCAGCCAGCCAGTAGGGACTTAGAAATGTGGTATTACCTTACCCCAAGGGACATAGTCTCAGGGTCATAACTATAGATCTCTGGCAAATATGCTTTGAAGCATGATTGGTCCTTACGACCTTTGAACTTATAGTTTTTAGAGGAAAATTGTAGGTTTCCAGGGAGCATGAGGTACAAGGCCTTTACACTTCCTTTAGACCAATTTATGATACATGTGGTTCTAAC